AATATGTACAAAATACCTAACACAATACATACCACGAAAAAAATTGGTTAAAAAAATTGGTCGAGGAAAACTCGAACAAGTTCAGACCATGAAGTAATGAGAAGAATGGAATTCCGGCAGTAAAGCGGTATACCGTAGAGACCCAAAACTCAGCTCGAGCCTTTTTCCTACAAAAAATAATGAGCTAAATTCCATCAAATTACGGGCTCTAACTGGCGATGTACAGGCGACTAAGGTCAACGCTATTTAGGGTATGCAGTAGACACGTTTGAAGAAAAGCGCGCCGTAAGAACGAATGTGAGATATAATTAGTATATGGATCACCAGGGCTGGCCTTCAAGAACCTTCAAGCTCCTAGACGATCAACAGATTGGGACCACTCCTTTTTTGTAATTGAATACAAAAGTCAAAGTATTAATATCAACATTAGAATATAACATAATTACTTAATTTATTGTTCTATAATTGTTTTATAATTATCAATGATTTATAATATTAATTCAGAAATCCCAATTATTGAATTTCCGTAAAGAAATTCTTTCAAAAAATGTATTTCAAAAACGTTATTGAAAATATAGCTTTAAACGGAGTTGTTGATTCAACTATTTCTGAGAAATAACGAATTCCCTTTCAAGAGAATTTACTTGACTTTATAATATTAATGAAAAAACGCTAACTTAATTTCACGTCTAAACACAAATTAATTCAAAACTGATAGCATAGATGGAATAAATATTCAAGATCACGAAATTATAAGTTTCATTAATTTTTAAGTTCATACGAATACATTCCCAGTAGTTGATAAGATATCTACAAAATAATTGATACAATTTAGAAATACCAAGTTACATTTTTTTCTTTTCTCGCAACATTTGTGTCAGAAGGTGTAAAAACGCATAACGTAAATATTCTTAAAAGGATATTCTCAGTCATTTAAACACATTACTTACTGGGTCTGTCGAAGGCAGCGGCAGAGGTTAAAGAGCTCTCTCAAGTGACACTTCAAACCGTGAGAAACCCGAACTGAACCCTTGCAAACGTACAACATTGCCCTGATGCTCATTTCCTGCAAGTCTACTATGCGGAAGTGAAAGGCGAAATTTCTGTGGTGACTCATGTCACGGCACAGTTTCCTTCACACTCAGGTGTGCAACCAGGGTGAAGCAAAAAGAACAAATAATACTGCCACATAATCAACATATATATCTCAGACGTACTAAGAAAGTGTGGGAAATCCTTACAAAGTTGTTTTCATGTCGAGTAACCTGCGTGCGTGTGTGCGTCTTTGCGTTCGTATGTCCGTACGACTGTCTATCAGTAATAATAATAATAATAATAATAATAATAATAATAATAGCCATCGGGGTAGTCGAGATCGCTAAGGCAGTAGTGCAGTGACGATCTCAGATGGAAGGATCGTGGGTTCTAATACTCCCTCGGGAAGTGGTGTGTTTTTGTATGTATGTGTGTGTGTATCGTGCACTCATCCTTCATTATCATCATTCCATCTTTCATCTCCCCAGGACTAGCAACCCTGGAAGAGGAAAATGGAATTCATCATAATGCTAATCCTTCCAAAAAGGAGTCACATACACTTGCCACGGGATAAATGTTACCGAGTCTCGGTAAGTACAGGTGTAGGTCCGCGAGGTTCTAGACGGGCAATTCGAGAATAATA